TATATATATATATGGTATTAAAGCAGTACAAGTAAAAAAAAAGTTTTCTCTCAGCATGTCACTATTAAAAAAACTCACATTACCTCTGTCTTATGCAAGTTCATTCTGGTCAACATCTACATCTCTGAAGCTCCACACACACCATCTATAACAAATTACACTCTGTAATAATCCGTCACCATGATGCATACCTCCCCAGGTCTGATCTTGATGTAGAAGTTGCTTCTTTTATAAGAAATCTTGAGAATCTTTGGCCAGGCGAAGCGGTTGATTCTTAGCCTATCTCTGTAAATCAGCAGGCCGTTGGCACAGACACCGAGCATTATTTCAATCGCTTCCGAATCCTGATGCAGACACATGCAGACATTATTTATGAGTAACCCTGAACGTGCTGATGAGGCTGTCTTTCATTTCAAATAAAACGATTATGGAGACAGCCGACCTTAGCGTGATGGAGGTCCACCCCATACATAGACAATTTCTTTGCATTCTCCAAAAAATTAATTTCAGCCTCTGCTGGCGTCATTCCCCTGTGAGCAGAATAACAACATCTGTAACCAATCTTCATAGGTAATAAATCCAAACTGTGAACAGAATTATTTCTTTAGAATAGGCTTGATATATTCACTAATAATGACAGAGCACAGAGACAACTCAGAAACTAAAAAACTTTTTCTACTAACTATTTCATCAATGCATAATGTCATAGCATCCATCAAAAACTAGGCCCATGAAAGTTACACAAAGCAATGGAAAAAAAAACAACCACAGAGAAATCTGTGGAAAAAATAAAGTTTCATTAAAATAACACTGTGTCATCTCAGTACTTGTAGCTTCGATGGAGCTCCATCACTCTCTCCTCCAGCTCACGGGTTTGGTTGGGAGCAAAGCGGAAATCACTGACATAATCTGAGCCATGGTCATCCTGGTCGTAGTCACCCAGCTCAGCTTGAATGGTGTAGGAGCCCAGGAGGGCGTGAGTGACAAATGAGCATGGCAGTCGACCTGACAGGATATCATCTCTCAGCTGCAGACACAGGTAGTATCTGTCAGATGAGACAAAAAGGGGAAGCATAGAAGGGAGGGTTGGCAGCCAGACAGCTCAGAGCCATGCAAGTTCCAACAGGTTTTCAGTGTGGCTAATCCATGGCTGTTAGTAGCACGTCTAATCCTTGAAAAAGGAGTGAGGTGTGCTTTGACACCGCTTTGTGTTACGCATATTGTAACAACAAAATTGTTACAATATGCGAATGCATACACGCATCACTGACACAATAAATAAAGATCTACAATCTACAAAGCTGACTTGTGTAAGCAATTTACTCTTTGATTAACTCTGAAAAGAATCTGACAGCACAAGCAGAGGATGTACAAGTGTTTCGTTGACAGAAGTGTGTGTTTGTGCTACCTGGTGATGTCCTCTGTGAGCTGGGAGGGGTCTGGAGGGTAGAACTTGACTGCAAACGCGAAGTGCCACGAAGAGTCTGAGGGAGGAGACGCTGTGAATATCAGAGGTTTAAATATACACAGAGTGTAACAAAAAACCTGTTAATGACAAGTCTGCATTGCATTTGCACAAAGAGGCTATATTGCAGAAAAGAAATATTTCTAGAGCAGCTATGCAGAAATAACACTCACTGCGAATCTGCTTCTTGATCTCTTTAGAGGGATCCAACCAATTCTGAAAAGACAGAAGGCAGCATTCACATGGAGCAGACTGGAAACATGGCTAATCCATACCCTGGTGTCACATTTTCATCTAATTGCCATCACAGTTCCTAATGGAAGCCTCTCCATATGGTGAATAGATTTGTGAAACCTCTCCTGCTGCGCTGTTCCAACTCGCAGAAAGCAAATTTCGCTCAAGCTTTTTGTTTTTTGTTGTGCCAAAAGGCACTTACCTTTCTGATCTTATAATATCCGATTGTGCAGTGAACGGTTCCAATAATATAGGGGTATCATATGAAATTTGGGGGCTGTGATATTTTAGCTCTAGTGCAGCTCACGTGGACTCACTTGTAGCAGCAGTAGCTGTAAATCAGGTTGTTCAACTGCAGCAACACGCTGTGGAAGAGCAAATTACCCACTACCAAGCTAAAACTCTTTCTGAAACTCTCACAGACAAAAGGTTTTTGCTGCAGAAAGTGTTTGCATTTTTCATCATCAAAGACAGGAAACTTTACATCTAGTTTTGTTATAAACATTCAGTGTAACAAGTTTACGTCTACCGTATTTATTCATGTATAATACAATCATTTTTTCGAGCTACAAAAGCATAAAATTCTAATGATAATAAAATATAAAGCCACCACTCATTTCTGACAGACTTCAGGATTTTTCAGCCTTTGCGGTGCCCCCTCTGGTGGGGAAACATATTTAGGTAAATACACCTGTGTGGGCCTGTTTTGCTGCAGAGCTGCAGTGGAAGTTTACGGTGTTACTGAAGAACAACCCATGTGTTTGTTTGGGACCTGGGGGGGTACAGAGGGTGTATGGGGAGTGTGAGTGGAATATTGTGTGTCTTTGAATGAGTGGGTGTGAGGATGAGGGTGGGAATGTGTGATTGTGTCTGTGTATGCCTGGATATTTGTCAGGCTGGGACTTGGGCGGCCCCCTCTTCTGGTTCATCTGTGGGCCAACTGCTGGAGGTGGGCCTCGCCCCCCTGCCACACTACCCTCTGGTGGGTTGTGCCCTAGATCAGCAAGGTGCTTTCTGCTGATTATTTATTTTTTTGTTTGTTTGTTTTTTTGTGTGGAAAAGCCAAAGAAGATCAAATTACCGATTGTTGAAGCTTTTACAAAAGGTTTGCTCATTCTTTTACAAAGCAATGACTTGGAACAATTGTTCTGCTGAAGAGCAAAGATTAAAATATTATTTCTGCCAACTGAGATGAAGAAAGTGATGTGCAATGACATTTTAATTTTAAGTCTTGTTTGGTCTACAAATCAGGAGCAACCCCAAACAGAAGTCTTTAGCTACACTCTGATGAAGTCTGACTTTAATGATCCTGTTCTTTTGACCAAATATACAGCCACGCCCACAGACAGAGAATTTGAGATGGGGTAAATATTTTTCCTTCAGTCATGTTGCCCTCACTAACCTCAGTTAACATGTCATTTTTTGCTAACACATTGGTATTTGGTATTGGCCTCATAAGTGGGCCCATTGCTCTCCCCAGAAGATACTGGGCTTTAATCAAACCTTTTTGTCCCTCGGATGAAGGACACCAGGTTAGAAACCCTCAGTGTTCTAAGCTTCTYGGGATCCACAAAGGGGTCTCCGAGAATTCTTTCCCTTAGACTACTCAGAGCCAAGCATTGGCCTAAGTAGTGCAAAGAGGTCTCTGATTCAATGCCGCAGGCATCACACAGACCATTGTCTTGGAGTCCCATCACCATTTTATGGCGGTTGAGCAGATAGTGCCCAGTTAGGACTCCAACCAGTGTACTTAAAGTATTCCTTGTCAAGGCAAGAAGGGATTTTCCAAATCCATGATTTGGGCCGTTTATCAGTTCCCGTGCCTGTCTACAATCCGTCAGCTCCCTCCATCGGATTGAGTGTTGACGTCTGATCCATGTCTGTAGGGCAGTCCTGCAGATTGTTGTTGAAACGCCAATAGCAGGCTCTGGTCCTTTAAAGTGGGCCTGACTGCCAGCTCTTGCAAGGTAGTCAGCTCTCTCATTACCATAAATGCCAGTATGTCCTGGTACCCATTTAACAGTAACACTATTATCTCTCCCCAGTTGGTTGACGTTGCCAACACATACTTGAACTAACATGCCATCAACAAGGTCTGGCATGTCAGTCGATAAAATACAGATTTTGGGTACAGTTGATTTRCCAAATATCTTAAAATGAGCTTAACTTCTTTCTTAACGTCATCTTTCTTAACTTCAAAAGCAGAAAGTAGTCATATTAAGCAATAACACTGATCAAAATCAAAGTCACATTAGCAGCTGTCACTGATTGCTACAACGCATCAGTTGGACATTAAATAAAATATTGTATTATAAAAGGCCAGGGGTCTCATGTATCAACAGTGCGTACGCACAAAAACCTTGTGTACGCCATTTTCCACGCAAAACTCTGGATGTATCAAAACTCAACTGAACGTGGAAATGTGCGCGGCCCCAAGCCAACTCCAGGGCTGGCGTACGCACATTTCTGTGGTTTTGGTTCCATTGGCGACACTTAGAGGTGATTCTGAGAAACTGTTCATGATGTGAAAATGATTATTGTTCACACCAGACACACATGATTAACAATTACTACATCCACATGATTAACAATTATTACATCCACATGGACACAGTTGAATAAAGGACGCGCAAAGTTGTGCCAAAAATACATTTAACAGGAACAGATTCAGCCTTACTGGATGATATAATAAATAGTGTAACACAAAGACACGTGGAAGTACACTTTACAACTTGTGAAAATGCTGTAAGTACGAGAGCAAAAGCTTGACAGACAAACAGACTGCGCACAAAGTCTGCGGCGCGCGCAGCTTTTGTGGAGACTCTCCAACATCACGTCACGTCATGTGAACTCTCCACTGAGACACAGAGACTCGTTTCTTCATATCAGCTATGAAATAAACTAAGATCTATGTTCTACCAAACATGTAAGTTCCTCTGTGTTTACAGTAATTATGGTAATAAACTCGTGTGCAAAGTTAATATTTTCATTTTATATTTAAAATTATAAAGGTGGATATAAATGAAATTGTGAGATTTCTTATTTAATTTAAGCATTTGTATTAGGAGAAATTTTTATTTGTCCTCTGTGCCTCATAATCGAATGTCCTAAAAAAGTAACGAAATAACTTTTATTCAAAGGGAATTTTGCATGAATAACTTTCTACTTTTATCTGGGTAGATTTTTACATGAGTACTTCTACTTGTAAAGTTTCAACAGAGAAACTGTATTTGTATTTCAGTATGTTATTTTAGTACTCTTTCCATCTCTGATAATGTGTTAGATATACAAATTAATAATTAAATTAATCAATAAAGTTTTTAAATTTATATAAGCTATAACTTCATTCTTTAGCTCCTAAAATGTCCCATGTGTCCCAATAGTTTCAGTCCGTATTTAAACTAAAGAGAGAATTTATTTATTCCACCAATCTCTTAGAAATATGTCTACAACTTTATTTTATGAAAGCTTATTCAAAACTGCCTTTTGTTCAAACCCAGCATGAGCTGGGAAAGTTCTCTTATAATTGATGGATAGAGCCCCCGGGAGGGAGCTGACCAGCCCATAAGTGAGTGGAATTCAGATTGTTCAGTGTTATACTAGAGCATCTCATGGGATTATTTTGGTACACAATTCACTGACCTTCTGGCTGTCTGTGTCAGCAAAGGTCAGGCCAAAGTAGTCCTTCTCCAGCAAGTTGAGGTGCTCACACACCATGTCCATCAGGSTCTGTCCTTTAGAATGCTTCTGCAGAAACAAACACACATATCCACAAGATCAAAAATGGAAAAAGAAAGGGTGTTTTTATGCTGCTCTTTTTTTACCTCTGCCTGGTGGCAAAGCTCTCTAGACCAGAGGTTCTCAAACTGGGGTACCTGGACCCCCAGGGGTCCACGAGAGATATCTTGGAGGTCCTCATAAATCTTTTACTAAAATGTTAATTTGGTTTTAATTTTTAAAAATGCATGGAGAACAACGAACTAACAAAACAAACATAAGCCTAATAAAATATACTGTATATTCCCATTGCATTTAGGGGTTGAAATGACAATAAATTTATGTTTTAAAACAGCATTTGGTTTATGAGGGGGTCACTGAAATTTTTTTCGGCCTTGTAAGGGGTCCCCAGACCCAAATGGCTTGAGAACCCCTGCTCTAGACTGCTGGACAACTAACATTTTCTCACTCTGCTGCTGTCTTCACTACTCTTCACTTTTATACAGTTATTGTCATTACCCTGTGTTTGTCTTTGTTTTTATTTCCATAGAAACTACACCTGAGACCAATTCTGCACACAGATATATACATCCAGGATTATGGAAGAATAATCCTGCCAATTATCAAGAGCTTATATTTTCAGTTTAGCAGTAGGAGTTTGCATCTTCAATCTCAAAATTTGTAATAATTGCATTGAAAACCTCTGCTCTCTCTCAAATACTCCCTGTTCTCCCTCAAATCTTTCTTTTCTCGCTCAGAATTTCTTCTCACGCACAAACTTTCCCTCTTAACGTATCAAATCTGTGCTTGCAAACCCCACTAATCTGCTGCCTCTCTCTCTCTCTCTCTCTCTCTCTCTCTCTCTCTCTCTCTCTCTCTCTCTCTCTCTCTCTCTCTC